TTATTGTCTAAAGATTGTACATAATAGTAAATAGTCTGTGGATTACGCAACTAGAAGACATTTGACATGAATTGCAATCTTAGTTAATTTATGCTTGAATCTTTGTAGCAGTTGTGACGGGGGAACAAAATAGTTGAAAGTTTATTTAAAAGATTGTTTAGCCTAACTGTTAATTTCATCATTCTGTGTCCGATCTAAAGTAAATAAATACAAAGCGAGCCACTTGTACGAAAGCACAAAATATTATAGGTCAATGCCTCAGCGCACGTCAATATTCAAGGCTAAGAAGATGAGCCATCAAAATTAGTGCCAGGCATTAATATATGAAGAATTCAGACGAAATCAACAACTCGTAAAAATAAAAACATCATTAAAACTGGCTTCTTTTTAATCTTACACGAATGTTCCTGATTTTATGCTGCAATCTTGCGCAGGTGCGGGCTGTTTTATGATTTTATCTATACTATTACTAGCCGTCCCCCGACTTTGTCCGCGTAGAATAGTTATTTTTGGTGCCAAAAATTTGGTTTTTGCAAACCTCCTTGTCATCTTCATACATTATAGTTACACACAACGTCGGTCCCTCGTCATTGCAAGTTAATCTAGAATATGTATGTATGACAACATTATCAGTTTATCCTAATATTATACAGATGGAGAGGTCCTTAGTTGGAACGCGCTAACCTCAGGAACTAAATTAAAATTATTTAGTGCTAGCTGAAGAAGGCTATAGGCTATAAAATATAGCACTGTGGACTAATAGGAGTGAAAAAATGTCGATAAAACGGGGAAAATTCTTACTCCTAGGTTTTCGTTGCGTACGTCGCGAAAACGGTTCAAGATACCAAAAAAATATGTATGAAAGAATGGTTTCTCTTTAAGTGATCTTAATCAAAATTCTCAATAGTATATGTCTATCTTTTAAGACTAACTTACAAGAACGCGAACTCGGTCGTAGGTAATAGCTTAAATTTATAGAGTTGATTAGGAGGTTGTCGAAAACAAATTTGATGTCCAAAATCGCTATTCTACGCAGACGAAGTCGCTGACACGGCTAATTTTTAAATAAATGCCTTGTTTTGTCTACTAATCGTCATTAAATTTTCCTATAAATTAACTGTTCAGTGACTTTAGACATTGACCTAGATGCAGCCTATATGTAAAAGTGTCCCAAAGTAAAAAATACACGGAGGTTGGCAGCGAATCAACACTTTCCCACCATGATTAACGAGAACCGAATTGCCTATTTATTACTACAAAAAATGTTCTTTAATTGAGTACAATAAATTTAAAAAAAAAGCTGTTTTTCTACTTCACAACAAAAAACTGTGTCATATTTTGTTGGCGGGTTTGTTAGTCTAATGGTAACGAGTAATCAACGGATTGTAGACATGCTTTTAATTAATTTATAGAAAACACTAGCTGAGCCGGCAAACGTTGTTTTGCCATATAAATAATTTTACTAAAATGTCTATTAAAAAATAAGGGTTGATCGTAGAAGGGCGAAAATTGAGGATTGTATGTATTTGTGTATGTTGTATCATAAAAAAATAGAAATTAAAAATTTTGTCTAAAAAAAAAATGTAAGGGTAAACAACCCTTATCACTTATGGGGATGAAAGATGTTGATGTTGTCCTATTCTCAGACCTACTGAATACACATATCAAATTTGGTGAAAATCGGTCGAGCCGTTTCGGAGGAGTTCAAGTTCGAACACCGTGACACGAGAATTTTATATATTAGATAGATTTCGATAAAGACTCTAGCTCTATTAATTAGTGAATGAAGGTTCAACTTCCGTCTGTGTCGTAATTTTTTAAACGTTGTTTATAAAAACCTTCCTCTTGAATTACTCTATCTATTAAAACCGTTTAAAAATCTGTTGCGTATTTTTTGAAGATTTAAGCGTACATAGGGATATAGAGATAGAAAAGGCGTCTTTATTTTATGCTATATAGTGATAATGCAATCACATGTATATAATAAGAAGAAAGTATACAAGCTACATAACTGTTTTGCAAATTCATTTTACAGATAGGCTATAGAAGACTTCACTCGCTGGTATGGCTAATAAATTTATAAGTTTCGAATCAATTTTTAGCTTTTCTGAGATATTGGACTTCGTCTGGAAATCTGGATGTTAAATGGATGATATTAATAGGTAACGAAACTCCGTCCGGGTCACGAACCACCGTCGATAGATGAAGAAGCCGTCGAGTATAATCGCGTTTCGGTATCAGGCATTTGCGAATATCAAAAGCCAATAGGTCGGGAGAGCATTTTGTTTAAATGTTATACAGCTAAGGTGTTTCACCTACCATCAATTAAACTATGCTAGTTCGTCCTCATTCGTATACATATTTAAATAAAACATTTTAACGGTTTAAAACGCGATATATGTTAGTTAAACTTATTTTAAAATTATGACACCTACGGCTCGACGTTCCGGATGCTTTGCAGGAGCCATGGTAACAAGAAAATCATTTTGAAATAAGTTAACTAAAATATCTCGCTTTTAAACCGTTAAAGTGCTTTATTTGAATGTGTACTACTCGCGTAAACTATAAACTGTATTTTATTGGAATACATTGTAGGAAATATTTATCAAAGAACTTCAGTAGAGATTTGGCACAGTTCAAAAATATCTGTATAGGCGAGAGATCAGAAAAAGATTGCAATTCCAAGATCCATCCATCTTTGCAGAGTAGACCTAGAAACGTTGCTTTGACGGTCCTCTCCAATTCCACGTTATTTTGAATACTCTCTAAGATTGCTCACGTTCTACGAAGTGAGATGAAATAGTTATTTACAAATGGCTTAATACAGTAAGATTTTGTTATGAGTGTTTATTCTAAGTTGGTGGAGCTGGACGGAACGCTGACGATGCCGGTTCAAGTCTTGCCCGAGTCGAAATTTTTTTTTATTTTATTTTCGATGTTTTTTTAATCCATCATGTGCAATAACATTTGAAAAATATTAAAGTTTTCAAACATTAATGAGTCGTATGAAGTTTTGCATTTTTTTTATTTCAGAGTTTATTTGCATCTCCAAATACGAAACATATTCGGTCTGTATCTTTCGCGAATAGTACACATTTCATTTTTTCAAGAAGAAGTACGATTTCCACGTTTTTTTATAAAACACTTTTAACGTTTTAAACGTGAAATATATAATATTAGTTACCTTATTTACGTTTTCTTTAAATACGACCCGACGTTTCGGATGCTATAATTTCATATAGCTTAACGATTCATGTCTAAATAGATAGAATTTATACTTTGTACTTAACATTTGCCATAATTACTAGTCAGCCTATGTAATAACATACACTAGCTTTAAATAAAACAATTTTAAGGTTTAAAACGCGATATATATTAGTTTAACTTATTTGAAAATTATTTTAACTACGACCCGGCTTTTCGTATGCAGCAGCCGTGGTCACGTGGAGACAAATTTAAATAATAGGTATCTCGTTTAAAACCGTTAAAGTTTTATTTAAATGTGTACTACTCGCTTAAACTACAGACGGTTCATACCACTAGCTTAATAATTACATAATTTAGCTGCGGGTCTCAAATTAATACAGCAAAATTAATATTTTAGGATAATAATGAGAAATAAAAAGGACTATGAGAGCCCTTTTAAGCCTGCGCCCTGAATAAATGTGGGTACCCAAAAATTGAAGGCTGAAAATACATTTTCACGAAGATAGGACGAGGGATGCCTAATTACTTAGCGGAGAGTCGACATATTATGCGGGTTCCGTAGAAACATCTGAAAGGTCAACAAGATATAAAGAAAGTTTTCTCGTGCGATTTCAAAAGATCGTTGAGATATCAACGAATTTTTACATATAAAAAAGTACTTATTGTATTACGTAAGGGCAAAGCGCACGTAATTGTATGTGTGTGTGTGTTGTATCTATTTATTTATTTAATAAGACTTAATAGGTACACAAACATGTTTTCAACTACCTTCGTAAGAATAATTTTTATAAGCAAGATGTTTTGATTTGTGTGTTCTACCTGACATAATCTCTTGAACTCCACGAAAGAAACCTGGGACTACGGTACTATAATAGATAAGCTATTTATAGATTGATTTAGAGATAGATAAAATGACGTTTGCTTTTTTAACACATTTAAATGAGTGTTTCATTTAAATGTGTTCAACTGTTTAAAACGCGGGTTAAATATTTTAGTGAAAATCGTTTGAGAATTATTTTTAACAACGACCCGACGTTTCGGATGCTTTGCAGCAGCCGTGGTCACTGGGAGACTTCCACGGCTGCTGCAAACCATCCGAAACATTTGGCCGTAGTTAAAATAAATATTCAATCAAGTTTAACTAAAATACATCGCGTTTTAAACCGTTGAAGTGTTTTAATTATATGGTTACCACTCGTGTAAACTACAGACAGTATTTTTAACACATATTAATTCATTAATCTCTCTTCAATTGAACAAAATATTAAGCAATTGTTGACCAAGATGTTTCCAAGTAGTAGTTTTTAATGTAACTTTAATATATTTCAATATTGAATAAATATTCATGCACCAAAATTCAGTTATTCAAATCGAATTTCGGCCAAATGCATCCTTTGGTTCAGATACAGAATTGGTAACAACTATCAAAGTTTAACCTAATTAATGAATTAACAGACTGTAAATGATATAGTATTAATTCTGCTAGAGGCAGAGTCGCCTAATGAAAAATCTTATTTTGAATAAGCATAGTAAAAATGCGCAATTAACTTAGGCGAAAATGAAAATGTCCTATTATTTGTGTTAGAATTATGTTAACAATTTTCGGCCACTGTACTCTTGTAGATTAAAATATTAGATTGTAAAAATATAAATAACTAAAGTCATAAAACTGCAGTTAGGCTACTCTACCTATAGCGGCCTCCATTGAAAGCAGTAAATAATATATAACCTGCAATATACACCGTCGCATCAATACGCAGCCAATCTGCGCGTTTATTAATATTTAAGCAGAATCAATTTATGGAGGGAAATCCTTGGCCCCTGGCCGCCATGACACTTTCATATTTAAACGTGGCGACAGGTGGCAGTTCTGAATTGCAACCCTTTACCCTTTCATATTTATCGTATTCTCTACATTGTCAACAGATTTTTGATTTATTAGGGCCTTATCACATTTCGCATATCAACAATACTAGCAGAAAAAACTCACCCAAGAGTCGTCATTGTGACTATGGTGTACCAGAAGGCGGCAGGAATGGACGTGAAGTTGGTATCCTGTTCGTTCTTCTCAGCGTAGAACATAACAGTAGCAAATATAATGATCGCCATCGCCAAAGAGAAGACCAGGAAACCCAGCTCACTGGCGCAAGACTTCAACGTATAACCGAGAATACGCAGCCCTTGTGAATGCCTCGAAAATTTGAAGATACGGAACACTCTAAACACTCTCAGGGTCACGAAGGCCCCTGACACATCGTCGTTGTCAGTTATGCCCAATCCAATGTAATAGGGCAAGATCGCCACCACGTCTATGATAGACATCACCGATCTCACAAATTTGCATCTATCTGGCGCTGCGAACAGCCTGAGCAGATATTCTGCCGTAAAAATCATGACGCAGGCGGTGTCTAAACAGAAGAAGACTATCTTATATCTCTCTCCGCAAGGTAAGGTTCCGGCTCGTCCAGGACGGTGGCCGCAGGGCACCGTTTCCACCACGTTAGCCATCACAGAGACGGCAATGAAAAATCCGGTTACATAGTAAAATACTAATGCAGCTGTGGATGTGTGCGGGTTCTCGAATGCCCGCCACATCTTCTGCCGTAAATCAGTAAGCTGCGGTAGACTCTGGTCACCGGCTTCACTGAGCTTATCGTCCATGAGACGTTCAGCATTCTCCCGCTTCCTATCCCTATAATCTTCATAGCAACAGTCCCCAATGACATCTGGTAAAATACCAAAAAACGCTAACTCCTCATCGTACCCGGTTAAGCATTCGTGTTTTGGATAATGAAGTTTCCCCGTTCTATAATAATTGAGTATGTGCCTGAAAATATCTGGGTCTCTATCAAAGAAGTACTCTCGGCTGTCCTCATCGTAGAAGAACTCGCGCTCCGTCGAGCCGAGGAGCGAGTCAGGATATTTTTCGAGGGTGTTCCTCCAGGTTTCGAAGCGTCGACCTGACACATTGATGAGGAGTTTTTCGTCCTCAGCGCGGCGTCTGTCTTTGGGTACAGGTGGGGGAGGCAGGGGGTGCGTAGCTATAGGGACCCATCCGATGGCCGCTGCGCGCGCGAACGGCAGCCATGCGGCGACGGACGCCATCACGTGCTCACGGCGCCACCGTCGCCGCTCTACTGGTTCGTGCCCCCCGCGTGGGGCTATTTCGGGAGCCCGCCCAGATGTACCGGTGTTGCTAGTGAATTGTTAAAAATAGCCACGCTTTTCCTTAAGGGCGGTAAGGTACCGATAAAGAAGAGACGTGTATATCTATAACAATGAACATATTGCTATGATATAAAAATTAGGTTGACATGTCCATATCTTTGTATAAAATAAACTTTCATACGTCGTTCGGAAGAATTAAGACTTGAGCTTTTAAAAGTTTTACTATTTCACAACTATTTTTCGTTCAATATCTATTACCAAAAGACTTAGTTTATAATTACTTTTCAAAGTGCATTTATGAAGCAGCATCACATTCGCGAACGATTCAAACATCTAGCAACTCCGCGCCGGGATCGGCGGTAGCACGCATGCGCAAAACGTGACGTCACAGTCTAATAAATTGATTTTCATCTGTCCGTCCTCCTCACTCGCGTATCAATCACGATGGTTACGTCTCTCTCTCGCACCTTTAAGCTTAAGCGACCTTTTGTATGTTTTTCACTTTAAAATATATTTTTTTAAAAGCGCTATTGTCTTTGTTAAAGGCTTTACGCCGAACGTACTCTTAATACTTAAGTGAGGCTGTGTTTTCTTGGCCCGTTTACTTGAAGTAGGTCGAGAACATACGGGTAAAACATTAGGCTGAAACACATTGATTAATGCTCTAATTGAGGGGGTATGATTTATTGCCGGCGAAATGTATTTTCTTGAAGCCCTTATATCGCTTATACGTCTAAAAAGGAAAGTCACGTTGGTTACACAATTTGAAACTCAAGTTAGGCTGAATTGATTTGGCTCAAAATTGGTGACCATCAATTTTCTCACCACTTGACTACCTCCCGGTCGGCGGTAGTCGAGAGCCAAGAGGCAATGATAGGCCGGGTCGAAAATCACGTTCGACCGCGGTTCCGAGTAACGAGACGTAAAAATCAAAAAGGTATAACATTTTCTTTTCTATCCTGTCACTCTTTTTATATCTTCGACATTCAACTGATTGAGTCTTATTATATCATTATTGAGTATGAAATACGATTTCTAGCGTTAGTAGTTTTAAACCATTTATTTAATAAAAAAATAAAAATAAAAAAACAATAAATTTAACATGCTATCAATAATTTATTTTCAACGGAGAGAAAGTCGCTGGTGAAAACTAGCATTTTATAAACATTTAGACTCTGGTAGCTTTTTTTTTGTCTTAGTCACTCTGACTATCTCCTCGGCTCAGCATTTATTTGGCTTTCAGTAAGCGCGCGTTTTGGGATTTCAAATTAAAAACATTAGATTTCAAAACAGCATATCGGTAAACGAGAGGAGCCCTGTGTCAGATCTGCAAGGACTGCCTCTTTCTCCCTCGTGACCACCGCTGCTGTAAATCCGAAACGTCGACCCGAAGTTTAATATAAGTTAATTAATATATTTCGCGTCTTAAGCAGCTAGAAGCTTTTTATTTAAATGATCAAGTACTATACAGAAAGGTGACTAACCGTGTTTTGTCGTTATATGTAAATTCCGATTATATTACATGTATTGTATAGATTTAAGTACATATTATGCTATTAATTGAAAAGTCGCTAACAAGATGGCGCTGATAGTTAAGTGGCAAAAAGACTATTTCGCACGGTTAGTATTACAGTGACCGAATTAAAAAAAAAAACACTTTTTTGGCAAAATAAATTTTGAGTTAGGTCACTCTAATACTAAGCGTTCGGTTTAATGTATGCATATAATATGTACAAACATATTAAGGCTTATAAAAATACATAAGAAATCTATTAAAATTAAAAATAAACAATGAAAAAATCCGACATAAACAGCGTTCCGCGTGCTGCTGTTCTAACCGATTGTTGTTATTGTATTATAATTACGATTGTGAATAATATTGAAAAGAATAAAATTAAAGTTTCCAATTACTGAGTTTTTTTTAAGACAAATTATTATGTTCCTTTTACGTAGGCTTTCACCATTATTTCTAGTATTAAGTTCTTTTTATTAGGCTGTTTTACTAATCGATATTATTACAGTAAGGCAGATGAACTATTTCGTAGCCCTATTATTTTTCGCCGGGTTTGGAACACAGAACCTCACAATCTCATGTACTTATTTATTATATACTAGCTGTGTCAGGACTTCATCCGCGTAGAATAGTTATTTTGGACAAACAAATTTGTTTTTCCAAACCTTATAAATTTAAGCTGCCCACGACATTGGTCGACCCATCGTTCGGGTCCTGTCGTTCTTGCAAATTAATCTTTAAAGATAGACTGTAAGAGTTAACATTTAAAGAGAAATTATTCTTTCATACATGCTTTTTGAGTGTCTTGAACCGTTTTCGCCGCGTACGCATCTGAAACCCACAGAGATGAAAAAAAATCCCCGTTTTGATCACATCCCGCTGTATCTTCGCTTCTATTTATCACAGCGTGATGTTTTGTGTCTGTCACCTTCCTCAATAAATGTTATAACTAACACATAAATATTTTTTCAATTCGAACCAGTAGTCCTTGAGAACAAACAAACAAACTCTTCAGCTTTATATTTTAGTATAGACATATTTTTGCACCTGTTCTCTAGGTTTCATTCACAGAAATAAAAGAAATATCACTTTATAAAATGTACATTTATTCTTACACCAATATTTACGTACTATGTACAGTCGGAAAGAAAAGCGCACTATGCAATATTCCTCTCTCCCAAAATTAAATTAAATTCGCTAATAATGTTATATCTTCATACTAAATCATTTAAAAAACGACAAATTTAAGCCAAAAAATTTAAAAAGATACAAATTTTACGAAATTTCGTAAAGCCGTTGCCAAACGTACAAGACTAGAATAAACTTATTTTTCAATTATTTGATTCATTTTTCATAAATATCAATTAAAATAACTCATTGTAAATTTTGAAATAATGTAATTATATCGAAAGTAATATATTTTTGAAACTGGCAGCGTCTTTTACAAAATTTCAGCAGCAAAATAATTGATGAAAGTAAGTTAAATGAAATTTTAATGATTAGATAGATTAAATAACTATGTATAAATTCTGATATACAAGGTATTAATTACCTCATTATTTCGTAATTTTATGAAAAATATTTTTGTGCGCCTTCTAATTAAACTGCTTTTGTCTGTAGTCGCGAGTAGTACACAATTAAATTACACACCTTTAACGGTTTAAAACGGGAAGTATATTACATCACTTTTTCTTTCTTTTCATTACGAGCCCAACGTTTCGGTTGCCTTGCAATCATGGTCACTAGGAGACCTAAAAATAAATTAATAATATATTTCGCATTTTAATCCATTAAAAGTGTTTCATTTAAAAATTAAGGACTAATTACCCGTGTTAAATAAATATGCTTTAATTAAAATATATACATATATTTTCAAATTCAAACATCAAGCAATAAAAGTCTTGAGCTAAATATCGTATGAAAAATCAGGGTAATTAGTTCTCCATACAGATGTAGAGGTTAAAATAAAATATGTATTTCAAAACATTTTCTGACCGATTCATATGGGTTTCTTAATAACAACATACACGACATTGTTACACTTAACAATAGCAGTAGGAAATTTTCAAAGAAAATAATGGAAATTGAATCTTTAGATGTCAAAAATAATATTTTATAATACAAAGTAATATATTAGTTAACTCATTTTATTTACGACCCGACGTTTGTTTTCCCCTCGCGACCTCTACTCTGCAAAGCATTCTACGCGTCGGATCGGGCAAATAAGTTTACTAAAATATGTCGCGTTTTAAACCGCGAAAAGCGTTTTATTTTAATAGTAGTATATAAGACTACTGTTATTTATTAATCTTGTTTATTTAAACTTGCATTTCATTGCGTTTTAAATCGTGTTTCGATTGTTATGTAAAATTGACAACATATTATATGTACTTAGCATATGCAGTTTGTGAAGTCCGTAAATATGTATTTACACAACCTTTTTTGCCCAGTGTTGGGACTCAGCCCACCATCCTTACAGGCTTACAGTTACCATGACAACTGTTATAGTGATATTTTTTTTTCTAACTTAAACTCGAGTTATAGTTTACACAAGGATTTTTGGTTCACGACTAGATATCAAACTCCCGTTCCGGAACGTTAGTTGGATACAGATACGAACAACGAACACGACTCTAACTAAGTAATGAACATTGGTTATTGTGATATGAGGCCGCTAGAGGCAAAGTAGCCTAACTGCAATTTTATGACTTGAGTTATTTATAATTTTATAGTCTAAAAGTGTTGATCATAACATAATTCTTACACAAATAATAGTACAAATTCATTTTCGACTAAGTTAACTACGCATTTTTAATGTCCTCCTTATTGAAAATCATGTTTTTTGTTATTAGGCCACTCTTTAGCAACCTCATATCTTCTTTGAACTTGTTTCCTACAACTATGTATGTATGTACGTATGTATGTATGTAGTTTCTCAGTCTATGTCATTCATACAAAAAAATATACTTATTAGACTTAACTTATACACAGGAAAGATATCCATTCTTATAAATAAAGAAATTGCACATTTCTTTGGTAGATACTGTCAAGTGAAAAAGCCCTAAGCGAGCGGATTGTAAAATAAATAACTTATTCAAATACAAATAACATTATTTAACTAACTCTTAAATAAGCTTTGAAATAAACAAACATTCTCTTACGTACTATGTCTGACGAACGTTCCACTTCAATACTCTCACGATTGTCAAGAAAAATGTTTGAGAAAGAAGACATCGTGTACTCAACTCAAAAACATGTGAAGATAATTAAAACTGTGAATAAGTGTTTGAAAACTTTTAAATCAATTTTCACGTGTATTGCACATGATGGCATTAAATGATCGAAACAGATTCAAAAAAAAATTACAACATATTTTGACAACAGCGCTTCGTGCTGCTGCTCTGACACAGTAGCTGCTTGGTTTGAGCAGCATGGAACAACATTTTGTTTTTATATGCAATGAAGTTTCATAAAAAAGTAGTCTAACGTTGCTTTCCTTAAACAAATTATGCTTATATCAAATCTATGTACTGTGTATCACTTGCCACCTAAAGATTTAACAATAAAAATAAACCGATTCTTAATTGTAATAATATTGAAAAGTACAAGTTATCTAAAAATCGAAAATAAATTTAAAAAATTTTCGACTCGGGCAGTACTTGAACCGGCATCGTCAGCGTTCCGTGTTGTTGCTCTAACGATGCCGGTTCAAGTCCTGCCCGAGTCGAAAATTTTTTCAATCTATTTTCGATTTTTAAATTGTATAGTGCTTTCATGGGCAATAACATGTAAAAAAATAATAAAGTTTTCAAAAGTACAAGTAGTCATTTAAAAAAAGGAAATACCGATGTTTGACATCGGGTTTAAACAATCATCAATAAAACACGTTTTACGGTTTAAAAGGCGCAATGATTGCTAATTCCGAATATCCAAAGCCAAAAAAGTTCGCACATCCTGTTTAGATATTATATGGCTGGAGTATTTCATCTACCATGAAGTGAACCCTTCTTTGAACTAGCTAGCTCTAAAGCATAAAAAAACTACGCGTTTACCGTTAAAAATGTTTTGTAATGTCAACTTAAAAAGAGGTATCATTATTGAGTGACTACCTAATACATTTCGCGTTTTAAACCGTTAAAATTGTTTCATTTAAAGGTTTTATTGTCATGTGGGTATTGAAATGAACGCGCTCGCAGTCAACCCGACCACGAAGTGAGCAAAACTGCCTAATATAGGTACATTAAGCTTTATAACGACTCCATTCTACTTTTGCACGAATCGGACTAGATTTCTCAATTTCCCTTAAACATAGTGAAGCTTATAATACGTCTAATTATTAATTATTTTAATTGTATGTAATATCACGCACAATATTTTGCTACGCTTCTTTTGTCGTCCTTTGGAATGTTGTAGAGATCTCTTGACTAGAAACTTGTGATACATTTGTGAAATGTACAAACGTTTGCGAAAGGTATTTTTAAGGTAAGGTAATTATAATATTATAATTCATTGAAATAATGAGAAAATATAGTTTTCTCAATTGTGCTTGGTAATTTGAGAATTATTTTGACAAACTTCTCGAGATAAATGGAACTTGCTGTACTAAATTGCTATGTAAAATCATATTTAAAAATGGAACGATCTACTCCGTATCATGGCGGCCCAGAGGTAACTTATCAACGGTTGATTTTAAATTTCGAACTGGCTTGCACATAGAAGGCTGTCTAGTGGCAAAAATGCTTTGGCGCGTAAATAACTATTGTCAACTTTGTCATTGGTTTTAAAGGTCCGAATTGTACTACTTAGTTTTAATTTCCGTGGATTATTTGAGAAAAGTCCTGTACAAGCTTTGAGCACGACTAGACGTTGGTGGACCTACGAAAGTTCACTTTGACCACGAATGGCCCTCTTACCGACCGCTGCAGTAACGTAACAATTCTAAATTTGAATACAGAATAACGCTTCAGAAGCGACAGTATTTTTTTATTGCAAAGTATTTCGTCGCTAACTTTTGTACATTTCGACGAGTAACAATAAATACTGTTTTGCCATCCGATTAGATCGGATATTCCTACTAAACAATGCAATCGAAAAGCGATCTTATTGCCCGTGCTACGATAAAGCTAATCGTTTGAATCCACAGCTAATTTACAATATTTAACATTATATTGCTTTTGGAAGGATATTCTATGATTCTCTATTTGATATAGACTGTTCTACCGATAGACATTTCATAATTTTTTGGGGAAACCTTTTCGCTATTAAATAAAGAAGTAAAGATAGTATTGGGGTTAAATAGACCATAAAATAAATTGTGAGTTACTTACATCTTTCTACATACTTTTACAACAAGTTGTGATCAAAATATAATAATTAAAGCTTGAAAATTTTTAGTAAAACTTTCAAACTTATCTTGTGTACTTTATGTGTTACTTTATGCCATGAGTACTAGGTATAATTAAATGTCTTAATTGACGTATGACAAATGTGACACAACATGACCAATAAAACAAAAAGAATGAATCAAACAGGTGAATTCAAACGATGACATAAATAAATTATTTATCTAGCAATGTAAACTAAACCATCGATATTTTGACTAGAACGATCGAAGTCGAGATCAGTTTATATTTCTGTACATTACTCGTAGTCGCTTGACGTTTGCCATTTAAAGCCACACTGACCGAGCAGTGTATTTACACAGATAATTATTATTGCAGTGTCCACTTAGCGTCTGCCACAACTGTACGAACGGCCGGTTCTCATAGCACTAGCAAGTGCTGTGAGGTGATGCTGCGTCACAAGAGGTGCTCGTCCTGGTCGTCGTGGTCTTCCTCGGAGTCCGCCGAGTCCAGGCTGGGCACGTGGTCCAGGTCGTGAGGATCGCACTGCTGATCCAGCTCGTTGGATGGCGTGTCGTCGTCCCGCCACTTGTCCATTGAACGTCTGCGCGCGTTCATGAAGAAGTTACCTACTGTCGTCGGCTCTAAGCCCAACTGCCTAGCTATCGTCACTTGCATTTCTTTCGAGGGTCTCTTTGTCTCCTGGAAAAATGAATCATTGACAACTTTAATATTTTTCCCATGTGGCATATGATGGCACTATATAAATCAAAAATCAATTATAAATTTTAAAAAATTATGCACCTCTTCGTGCCCGAGTCGTATTTTTTTTAAAGAATTGTAATCGATTTTTAAAGTTAATTAATTAATTCATTATATAGAATACTGATCAATTGACAGGCAAATAAATGAATCAGGGTGTAGAAGTTTGATCAAATAAATTCAATTATTAAAACTATATGTCTTATAAAAAGAAAACAAGAGTTCACACAATATGATTCAGCTCTTATGTTACACTTAAAGTTCTGCATTGCGTTAAGCGCAAGAGGTCCTAAACAATAGATTGTTTCGGCCGAGCAGGGTTTAGAAGTCTAATCGACTATTTAACCGTAAATAACCCGATCAGTAAAACAGCCACGGGATGTGGTCGACCATACCTTATGGGGGGAAACGAAATTTCACTCTGACACAGGTGTTTGTAGAAATCAAATGACATAGAGTGCGTGTGTTGAGGATTCAAGTCTCGCCAAATACCACAACAAAGTCAGTTTTGTACTTCAAGTGATCTATGTACTTCGAACTTAGATGTATTATATTAGTAGTCAAACATCAATTAATATGGGTAATAAACGTATATCTTTACGAAAATAGATGATTTACAGCTTTCTTAGAATTGAATTGAAGGTCTACCTTAAAAATAGCTTGTAGAGTACGCCGCTGAAGGTCTGTGAAAACCAAACGAGGCTTCTTCGGAGAAGGATGGGTATCCGATGGCACATCCTCCTTGCGTTTGCAGCCTGAAATTAGAATAATATATATTTATTTGATGGAAATAAAACATATTTTCATGTGTTTTGAAAAACATTTAGAATGTTATGTATAATTAATATTAGATAAAGAATACTTACTGCCTCTCTGTGGAATTTGAGCCGCTGCAACAAAAGAAGATAGTAAAATTAGTACATTGATAAAACAAATTCAGAAACTATGGTCTAAGACCATCGCACACCAAGCCCTTGGGATCTCTAAAAACAACAAACATGCCAACTATAAATGCCTTCATTTCTTCACATCACGAAGAGATTTGATACATGAAGACATTTGGAATTTCCTAGAAAAAAAATATACATCGTTTCAAAAAGTTTGTTAATTATGAATCTGGATATTTCGCTTATTAAAGAAACACATCTATCAATGACAGTTAAGTAAACGCGAAGAATCCAGACACATTAACATAACATGAAAACATCTCTAACATAACAAATTCTATAAGCCATTATCGAATTGCTCTATCACTTTAATAAATATTCGCATACCTGACGACAATGTAAACAACATTAACAAAGGGTCTGATCTCGCAGGCACCTAAAAATCATATAAAACTAAGACAGCCCGGGCGAAGGAAAAATAAAAGGGGATGGAGGGGCAGCGGCAGCGGTCTAACAAATCTTGGCTTCTCGAAGCTAACAAAACACACTTACCTACTGCTAAAAAATAAACACTAGATTTAACAACGACCTCATGTATAGGCAGTATCGTTGCCGGAGAAACTGGAAGGATACTACCTACTCAAAAGTAAACATCTATAATAGCGGAATCTATTATGAACACATCTTTTATAGAAAAATAAAAATGTAAATCTTCAGATTATATGAATCTTGTCTCAAAGCGGTATTTTCTAAATAAACAAAATAGATACATAATATTACCTTGCGACAAGCTATACAGATTATACCTAAAGAAACCAAGTCCACTGCTACGCAGCCAGGATAGTTGGGAGTGGGGGGGATAAGTAGAAATACGAAACAAAATCATCTAGGTGTGTTTTAACTAGTCATTCAAAAAAGTTACTGAATCGTTTTCATACGTAAATTTTCTAAAATTATGTACAAGTCTCATGAAAATAACTCGAGATAAGATAATATTGAGAAACAAAAATTGTGGATAAGATGGATGGGATACCGGGAGCAAAGTCATTCGGGGAGGACTCACAAGCAAGAAAAATCCCCGACAGGTTCATATGCCGGTGGTTCCCAATGGGGCGTAGGTGGATACATTTCAGGGCCCTGAGTTACAGTTGGGGCCCCGTACTCTCTGGGGCCATAATTCTGCGGCTGCATGTTGTTTACATTGTCGCCTTTTACACTTTGCTGACTTGGATTATCTGTAAATATTTTGTTAGGATATTGTTTTTATAATCAATAATTTTGTCTTAAATTTTGACTTACAACTAATACCCTTTTTACATTACTCGACTTTTTATTGGTAAATTCACTCATTGTCTACCTATACCATATTATTTCTTAAACGTAACGACACCGTTAGTCAGTTCAGTTAGCAATAGAACAGATGGCGCTAGCGTAGCAGTTTTTACTTTGACTCTAAAGACACCCTCCACCTTTTCCCCCCTGTGATCACGACTGCTGCAAAGGATCCAAAACGTTCGGCGGTAGTTAAAAATAAGTTTAATTTTCGTATTTTAAACCGTACAACAACGTATTTCTTAATACTTTCTTGAAGTGGTGGTGGAATTATGAAGTTTGGAAAACGTATCTATACCTAGAATTTGCAGTGCGTGCTTTTGAAGATTACATGCAATATAAATATTTTCGGTAGTCTACACAAACGGTTATAAGATTAAATACGATCAACGATTTCAGCAAATAAAACGCTTTTTAAGGGTTTTAAACGCAAAATACATTTGTCATTTCATCTTTTACAGTCCAAAGTTTGGATTGCTTTACAATACGTCAGATCGACGATAAATATAAACTAATTAAAGAAATTAACGTTAATCAAACAAACGAAATTTAACCGTTTAAAAGAGTTTTTTACACCATAAGCTCATCTCACTGAGATCGCTTTCTCTTATATAATATCAAAACATTCAAAATTCAATACGTGCAGAGGTTAGGAATTTTGATGGAAAAATGTTGAAGGTAAAAACCGTACACGACCCTAAATACCTACATAACACTAGAACAGTCTACAGCGAGGGGGCAGGGGTGAGAGGGGTTCGCTCGATCGATACAACGTAGGAGGTGTGACGTCACAGAGTAGGGAGGGGGGAGCACGCGGTTTCACGTAGCATTTAGCTCTCCAGCTTTGGCTATATGGCGACAAATGGTCATGTAAAAAATCTACTTAAATCTGACGGGCTCGTTGGTGTAATGGTAGTAATGTTCGCCTAATAATCAACGGGTCGTGGATTCGATCTCCACCGGGTCCAACATATTTGTAATCGATTTATAATTTTTCTGAAACAATTTCTGACTTTGAGTCTGGAAAACTGGATAATATTTGGGTGGTGGGAATATCGAAATTTCAACCGGGTCACGAACCACCGTCCATAGATGAAAATGCCGTGAAGTTCAATCGCATTTTGTTGTTAGTCTGTGGATCCGAATATCCATGGCCGTAATAGGTCATCATCTAGTTAAGATGTGATATGGTCACTTCACCTTCCATCAAGTGAAGTTTTTCCTCATCTATCATACAAAAAAAATAAAGTTTTAAAACCTTTTGACAAAAAAAAATGTGACACGAGCGGGACTTGAACCCTAGTGTCTCAGCGTTCTTGTACCAATACACCACCGTGATCGACAACATCGAATTGACCCATAATTCGCTAATAATTAATAAGAAATTTTAATCCATTCCTGTCTATACAATGCAACAAAAATAACAGTTAAACGGTTTTAAATTCAATTTTTTTTGCAAAAAAACTTGTTTTTGCAAACCTCTTCTTCATATTTATAAATTTAAGCTGTTATCAAGCCCAGAAAAAGTCAATAATTCATCCCAGTTTTTTCAACATTTCCCGCTGTTTCTTCGCTCCTATAAGTTAAAGCGCGATGTTTTATAGTCCTCGGTAAATGCTCTAACAAACACAAAAAACTATTTTCACTTCAAACCAGTAGTTTTTGAGATAAGCGCGTTCAAACAAACAAACTCTTTAGCTTTGTCTATTAGTATAGATATAGCTCCATTATTTTATGTCATTTAATGACCTAAAAACAGTTTGGTATGTTGGTGTTGGTTTCAGATTTGTCTTCTATAAGGCCAGGCCAGGTCAGGATTACATTTTATCGAACTGCCTCGTAGCAGCAAGTCTAACCATATATATAATATATATAACGCTACAACAATCTAATCAACGCTACGCAAGCCCTAGTGACGTGCCCTATCGACCTGCCACCACGTGTTATCGATGTACAGTAATCGATACACAGCTGATGTTTGCACAAGATAAAGCCTGTTTTGTTGTGGAATTGTCTTCTCTTGCTTACTTTAAACTGATGGAAAAGCGGTATTTTGCATTGGTATTGGTAAGTTATAATACATTTATTTTTTAATTATTTTTATTATGTATGGTTGTAATTAGTGTTTCTGTCTTAATGAATAAGGTTATTCTTAACCAAAGTAAAAACTTTAAAACATAAGTCTATCGTCGTAACGATTTGCATAAAATAATAAATGAATAAACTAATGTTATTCTAAATAACGCCAGTAATCATATTTGAAAATAATAGATACACTTTTTAAATGTCCTATTTTTAATATCTGTCATGCTCGATATCGATTCTGCTCGATCGATGATAAGCCACTCGTGGAAAGCTTAATTTACCGATATATTCAAAAACACAAACAACATTTATGATTAAAATTTAACGAGTGCAACGTAAGAAGAAAACCTGAATCGTATAACAAGTTACTAATCAACTAGAGGCATTTGACACTTAAGTTTAAAAAAAACAGTACAGATTTATAATTTACGGATATTCAACGAAAATACATATACTAATACATTAACAGAAACCAGAAAAGTAGCTTGCAATATTTAAAAAGTCACTACTTTACTGTTTTAACTGTACTTTCGTTTACCTTTTTATTAAAACTATCATTCACAGGTTTGTATAATACTACTCATACGCGTCATAAGTTTGAAAAGTTCAATGTTTTTTAATTAAAACTAAGTTATATTCCGATATTATTATACATTTATATTTCCTTTAATCGCTCTACAAAAGTGGAGCAATCAAACTAAAAACTGTTTTCGAGTTAATAACGAATTTCGAATGCGAAGCTTTCTCCCGTTCGTGCTAGTGACGCGCTGCATCGACCGCACGGCCCCACCGCTATCGATTGTCGACAATCGATGAACGCAGCTGACGTCTGCCTTGTTTGTAAACGCACCCTACTTGGGGGAAGGATATGACACAATTTTAATTCTAGGATAGTGCGGGGACCGAAAGGGGTTCACGGCTTATCAAGCACCCATTGTCTTTGTTCGTTTAATAAAAATAAATTTCGTAGCTTAATTTCGTATTTTAAAACGTATAGCTTAATTAATAACAACGTTAAACGCTGTTAAGAAGAAATTTATCTTTAACGTCGTTTTACTAACACAAAGAAGATTTTTAAAACATGTTTGTTCATTTCTTTGTTAATTCTTACTTTATTTGTTCTTAATTGTGCTTACATTTGAATATACGTAAACTTAGAAACGTGAATCGTGAATTATTTTCTGGTAAACCATTAATGATGATTTAAAAATAGACAAAGCACTATATTAAGTAACATAATTATAACAAAAAAATAAATTAAGAAATTTTAATGTATTTTGTTTATACTAAGTAAATAATACTAATACAACATTGTTCTATTAAATTGTTAATAACACTTTATTTTTTATTGTTAATAATGTTAAAAAAGGTTGGACTTATCTATTTTTTTCCTGGATATTATTAAATTAATAGAAAGAATATGACTGTTAGACATTGAATGTCGTTTCTGAGGAAGTTATTTTACCCACCAGTTGAGCAATGTTACACCTGTAGTTTTGATAGAAATTCTACTTTGTGTACTAGGTGGCTAGGTTTTAACTACACTTGTCTTATATGATTTCAGAAACATGCAAACGTACCTGCTAACCGTAGCGCCGACATCCTCTGAAACTCGGGCTCTTGCAGCCATTTCCACATCCGCCTAAACGTTTCCCTCCCCGACTTTAGCTTCGACCACGGCTTCGGGTTCCGTAGCAGATCGCTCAGCGTGCCTTGCGACCTACATAGGACCCTCTGAGCGAAAATGGCCTGCGGTATCGAATACCTCTTCAATTCTCCACTTATCCTTTGAGCTAACTCTTTAGTGTTGATTTCCTCTGTGTCGTTCTGTTGTGATTGGGTTTGCTGTTGAGCTTCTTCCCTCGCGAGCAGCGCAGCGTTGAGATCTAGCCCGGGGCTCGGCAGGGGCGGCGTAGGGGACCGTCTTTCGAAGGAATTGGGCGACGCACTCCGCCGGCTATATGCCGATTGTGGCGACAACGGTTCATTATACGCCGCCGGGGACAATGACGCATACGAATGCTGTTGTTGTATAACTGTAAACGTGCCGCCTGCATGATAGGCGAATTTGTCCGATACAGTACTGATGGGGGGTAACGGGAGGAGAGGAGTTAGTGTGGCGTATGACGCTGGTTCTAACCCCGGTGGAGTCAGACGGCCGTTAACTGCCGAGAGGGGGTGGAAGGCCGCGTCGCCGTCTGGCAGGAGGTCGGCTGGGGAGAGCCGTGGTGGGGATGCGTTGCTGGGAGCCACTATGACGGTGAGAGGCGCGCGGTCTCGAACTCTGGCTTCGTCCATGGCGCGCGGCCGGTGGCTGCGCTGTCGCGCGGGCGACTGAACAACGCCTGCGCTACGCACCCTTCGCTCCCCTCTGTCCGCCTGCAAACACCCTTATTTTATACCCTAACGTCCTATATCACGCTATGTTAGTGAAATATCATTCTTAGTTCAACCCAATAAGGTCCGTTTCATGCTGGCCCTTATTTCAGTCTGGTTGTGAGACGTGAACACTATACAATGCACCCTTAACCTACCCTGTGGCGCTTTTACTCTTATATGGCTGTTGAATCACAATGTCTTCTGTACATTGCTGACTGGGTTTGGTAAGGTGTTCAGTACGATAAGTTAGGACAGCCATGGTTGTGTAATTATGGAAAAAATGTTTTTATTACAAAGTTAGCTATTTCGCGGTACGGGAACTGCCCTCGTTCGCTGTCACTCGGCTACTTTCAGCTAGGAACTTCCAGTTGAGGGGAAATTTTATTTTATATTAATTCTTGCTCATTTCAAATACACGGTTTTCTTTTTTCCTTATTTGACCTAATTTCAAATTGTCTTCTAATATTAACAACGATATGTCAAGATACTCTTTACATTATTTTCTGGCCTAGATATAACATTACACGTCTATTTTTATATAATTAATACTTCGATGATAATTATAATTTGTAAGAAGTATGATTCAATATTCGGTTTTAACTTTATGTTACCTAATGTTGACCCAAAAAGCACATGGCTCATATTTTCGAAAAATTTATAAATTGTTATAAAAAATTCTAAAGTCTTCTGTATACAAATTAAGTAAGTTCTTATAATTCACATGACTTTAGTTGAGCTCAGTGACAAAAGCAAAATTCAAAAAGGTATTATCTCATTCGTTTTCTTTGCATCGTCGGTCACCCCTTTTAAAAAGACCTCACTAGTGTCAATAACCTTATACCCAAACATAAAGTGTGTCTTTTTTACAATGTAACAGGATCCGTGGCACAAGCCACAGTCCCCGGTAGCGCACCTGGCGCGAATAGGTTTACTAGTGTTGTGATGATTGTTGTCGATGAAATCCGACTAACATTATAAACGCGAAAGTTTGTATGGATTTCAATATTGTCTTCTGTTTACAAGGGTATTTAAATAGAACACTTTTAACGGTGTAAAATATATTACGTAACTTATTTACAATTTATTTTAACTACAATCTGACGTTTCCCATGCGAAATTCGCGTTTGCTACGTTTTTTCAATCCAACGGCTTCATAGTATTGTGTAAAAGAACTCTGATTACTTTTAATTACTGAGCAAGTACTGTTTTCGCTATTATTAAAAATTCTAAGGTTGTTATTTTTATTCATATGCTAATGTTTGCTTGGGTAACGCTGTTGCTTGCATATAGTATAGAAATAACAAACTATATAAATGTTATAAATAGTTTAATTAAACTAATTACTAAAACGTGTTGTAAGTGTTTTTACCAGAAAATTTGCATATAGATTAATATTACTGAACAGAAATAGTTGGATTTCATCAGGAAATCTGGATATTAAACCGGTGGTAAGATTATAAAAATTCCGTCCGAGCCGATGGTTGCAGTCTGTGGATTTCCAAATATCCACGGTTAGATTAGTTCGACAGGGCATCGTGTTTCACCTACCATTAAGTGAACAGTATACTTGTATGTCGTCATATATCATTTAAAAAAGATATATTTTTACATATTTATTTTCGTATTGAAAGTTTTTTTTTGAAAACCTACAATTACATTGTATATTTTAATGTTACATAGTACATTGTTACCTAATCTATCGATATCGATAGATCGGGTATCATTGTACGTCCTGTTCGCACGCGTCACCTTTAACAGAGTGGAACATTCTAAATTTTCGAAGTTAATATAAGTGTATTTACATATTCCTTACTGTTTTATATATTTCATCTGTTGCCAATAGACTAGCAGTGTTATTAAAGTTGTATTTGTCAGTTTAACTTGATCGTCAATAGGTGGCTAGCGGAGTAACATACAACAATTACAACATAGAACCAACACAAGAAAGACACAGCAAATACATAAATTTAACGTAGTTCTATTATTTTTTATTATTAATACTGATGATAACAATGATTAAATCATTTGGCTACAGAGACAAACAAATCGTGTTGCCTAGCATTCCGTTAAATGTATAGAGGTCCTGGGTCTTGGGTTTTAATCTATGGGAAACAAGTGACCGTTTCGGCTGTGTCGGACAGAGCACAGAAGTCTGATCAACAACTTGCATTTTCATAAAACCGATCAGTAAAAAGGACATAGAACATGTTCGGGAACACGTTCGAAAACACTTTTTTCTATTTTATACCATCTGACACCAGATGCACTTAGCCTTTTTACCTAAGCACGTCATTGTATAGAGACACCCTATACGTTAAAATAAAAAATATATTTGCGTACTAAACACGATTCTATCGCCCCTAATATTGCACCCTATTTAATTAAAGCGTGGACAGCTGCGCGCGCCGCTTGTTCGTGACGTCATATCGATTATTTTATCGATATTATCGACCGCGCACCTGTGCTCGAGTCCCGCACTATCTTCCGGGGCTGATGACCTTTTGACGTTAAGAAAGGGTAACAAAGTGTCGCTAAATTACTCTTGCTACTTATAAAAAATGCACTTGATACCTAATAAAAAAAAAAGTATATTTCATAGAACACTTTAATCAGTTTATAAGCATATTAAACTAGCTGTGCCAGCGACTTCGTTACGTTCGGTATTAATCCTCGATATATGCTCTAACCAACACAAAAATCATTTTTCAATTTAAACCCGTAGTTCCCGAGATTCAAACAAACAAACAAACTCTTCAGCTTTATGTAGTATAGTAGTTAACCTTATTTTTGATTTTTTTTTCAACTACGGCATAGCATCCGAAACGTCAGGTTGAGTTGACATAAATAAGTTTGACTACCTAACATATTTTTCATTTCAAACGCGTAAAAGGAGATTTATTTAAATGTGCTCGAGTCAACTTCGGACACTACACTAAGTACTACCCTATATTTATTTTGTTATTAAAACAACACAATCTTGACAGACAAGCAGATCTTCGACTTTGATGTTTTAGTGACCATCTGCGGACTCAAATTGAATAGTGATTTTTTATTTAAATAAAACACTGTAAGTGTTTAAAACGCGATATATATGGCACTAGCGTATTCAGAGACATCCTCCATCTTTAGTCGCCCCATGACCACGGCTGCTGTAGAGCATCCGAAACGTCGAGCCGAAGTTAAAAATAATTTTCAAATAAGTTTGACTGATATTTAAATGTGTACTACTCGCGTAAACTACAGACAGTATTTGTTTTATTTATATTGATAGAAACGGCAGTTAGTTTGAAGTTGATAAAACGGTCACAGTAGACACCCGTCAACCTAATATCAAAATTTGCTTTTTAGAAAAGAAAAACTATAGTTCTGCTTTTGTGAAGTAGGAGTAGTTCGGATATGTATCAGCAACGGAGGTTTTGACAGGGGTAAAAGAATTACTCTTTGGTATTTCTATAATACCATTTCCCAATTTTCGATTTCGATTATATAGGCTTTGTATAGTATTTGTTTCTTGTTCTCGTTTATGATAGGGGAGAACCGACGAGCATATATAACAAGCTAAGCACCTAAGTTAAATGCGCTGTCGATCTATGTTGGCTTTGGATATTTGTAAATCTAAAATAAGTGATGGAAGTTAATTAATGAAAATCCTTTGAAATCTTTGTTACAGGAATTACTAAAGTCAGTAATTTCTAAAAAATATAACTTGTATGTTGTGCATATTGTTTCCTGTTTGGTCCACCGTTGGGAATAAAGAAATTTTAAATTTGATGAAAGATAGAACTAGTTTTATAATGATGTTAGTAGAGTAAAACTTGGGAAGAAATCTTTTTCGTCAAAAATAATCAATATTTTTCAAAAATCAATAACTTTTTACTAATCAATAACGGCGAGTCCGCCATCTTGTTTTCTTACCAAATCGCCGGATTCACTCTCCAAATCGATCACCTCAATCTCATTCGCGATGGAAACATCATCACCGTTCACTAATACCTCCACTATCAGCTCGGACATCAGCGAAAACCATCAAGAAATGAAAAATATCGAATTTTGATATTCCTCGATCGCACGATATCGGAAATCTAGCCCTCCTGACGTCGCCGTTGCCATGACAACGCACTTTTATTTCCCTCGCAAATAAAGTATTCCCATCTCGTTTCCTCTATGCTTGTGCTGGTTTGTTGAAGAGGGATAGTGTTATTTCGCTAGTTGCGTTCTTGTTTCGTAAAATCGATATCGCACAAGGCTGGCCGTCGATTAACCGTTCTATGGAATGGCGAAGGAAGAAAATCGTATGTCGCAAAATAAGCGTTTGAATCTGATACTTATCTGTAACAATATAAGGCCACTTTTTACGTGCAGATATCTATTAGTGTACTTGGACGGTGTAGTACGAACGATTATATTGATTATCACGATCTCAGCATTTTTTCGATTTATTGGATGTCTTCGTACAAAATGATAAATGTTGTAGACTGATGTTTAATGATAACATCGTTTATAAACTTAAAACCAATACGTTAATATTGGAGTAAATAAAATAAAACAATTATAATAAATAGGTAATGTGCATTTGGATAATTTCCTAATAGTTAATATTCTATTTTAGTCCTGTTACATGTTACCTACGCTTATAAGTCATTTTCTTTAACATTTCCAAGTAGGTAACGCTATGTATATACATATTTTAAGTAAATGACGTATTTAAGTAGTGTAATAAATTTAATCTTGTAAAGGTCTTTTATAGCAACATCTTAGTAAAGCAAGTCGTAGAACTTCGTAGATTGCTACAGAGCTTTTAAGGTGAGTTAAAAGTACGATGAGATTTTATAAGAACTTTCTTCATAAAGCAATAAAAAATATTAATGATACTTAAAAGAAACACTTTAACGGTTTAAAACGCGATATATTAGTTAAGCTTCCGAGCCGTGGTCACGAGGAGTCTCCCCGTGACCACGGCTGCTGCTGATGATTTTTAACGTCGGGCCGAAGTTAAAAATCATTTTCAAATAAGTTTAACTAATATATCGCGCTTTAAGCCGTCAAAGTGTTTTATTTATGAGTGTACTACTCGCGTAAACTATAGATATTATTTAATTGATCATATTTCGAATTAAATTACTCCCACTTTTTTAATGTTAGAATAGAATGACTTTTTAAATAGGTAGGTACATAGGTATTTAGCCAACAGCTCACCTTCATACCATTAATGTTCTAAGTTTTTAGTTTTAAATTGATGAAATAGGAGTACGAAAAAAGATTTAAGCTTCCTTTAGGAGGATTCAGCACAGTATATAAATAATGACATGCCATGCCGCGGCGAAACAAAAAACAAAACAAACGCTTGTTTAAAATAACTCAATAGACAAAAGTTATTTTTCATTGTATGTCACTAAACAAAGGTCTGATTTATCTTAAGATGAAATATTGATCAGTTTATGTGCTTAAGATATTATATCGATAGACTCAAACCGAGCTGTAAAGTTTAAAAGGCCCAAAATTTAAAAGCTTCAAATGGCGGAATAAAAATAAAACACAACTAATTGTTTGTTTCTTTGTATTGCATCAACTGTAACACTTTTCAGTTTTCATCGATATTGAGCAAAGTTTACCTACATTATTATAATTGCTTGTATTTTTACGTTCAATTGTTTATACATTTGTGCGACATTTTGTGCTGTAGCGGATGGGGTAAACTTGTAAAAACGTCCTCTAGATGCTTACAATAATTTCCGCTAGATGTCATTGTTATTAAATTTCGACGGTATTTTAGTGATGCCGGTTTTTAAAAAAGTAATATGGTAATAAACAATTGACAGTAAAGTACTAGCATAACAACGCATGCTATGTCAAAATGCTCCAACTCCTGACAATACACACATGGCAACATGTGCCTCTCATATTTGTTTTAAGCTTTAAGCACCAATTTTCTTTATAACAAGTCGTTCGAAATAATTAAACGACTAAAATTCTATAAATATCTTACTATGTATAGGTTAAAAATACATGTTATAACATTTTTACAAGTCTATCCTTAGTTTAATTTCACGTAGGAACCAAATAACTCACTGACATTACAATGTAAGTACATAATTGGTGTTTAATTCTTTTGATGAGTTATTTGATCTATACTTTTCCTTATTTAAACACAAAGGAGAAAAACAAAAAAAATACTAAATAAATCATTCAAAATTAATGGTAAGGACAAACAATATAAATCTTACTATCTCTACTTTAATTGTACAATTAAATCCAAATTATAAATACACTCCAAAACATATTTACAGAATAGTTGTGATAGACACAACGCACTTAAAAAATAATTAATAAATTCGCTACACAATTCATAATTGCACGAGTAAATTGACAAACTAACCAAATTCATAACTAGGTGTATTCTTCTAACGGTTAATTATCCTTAATTAAGTTTTATTTACGTATGTATGTTATTTAACTTGAGAAATCCAAAACTTATAAAGACGGATTTTTGTTTCTTTATATGTATTATAAATATATTCGTCAGAAATAAACGCGTTAAGTACAGAATTCAAATATTCAATTCAGAATATTAAAAAGCATTGCGGGAATGAAAAGGGTAAAAGTAGACGGGTCGACCTACTAGAAATAAAAGCGTGCCTAATCGAAGTCGCATAGATTAGATATACATGCCAGTAAAATATACACGGGTAAATGGATATAATGTAGGTAATTACTAAAATTATAGAATATATTAGAAGTATTTATTTATCAGCGAAACTACGCGTATAAGCGTTACTTAATCGTAAGATAACATTAAGACGAGGATTAAACTCTGGATTCGAAATAAACTTCCAGACTGCTGGGTGCCCAGTACACAATTTCAAACAGTGGGACTTTCGAGGGAGGAATAATAAATAGAACGATCTTAGAGAGTATGTACGTCAGTGCGCACGAAATCAGCGGAAGTAAGACGAAACTGGTAAGTTTAAGCCTTCGCAGAAATGAACTCTAACAATGAATGTACAAGTCAGGCTTCCAAAATAAATTTAAACATTTATTTCTAGTTAGCACGTTGTATAGAACGCATCATAAATATACAATATTGTTGTATCTAAGGCACATAATGTTTAGGCTTTCAATTATTACTTCATATCGTAACAATGGTGCTAATTAAAAATTAGAACAAATCTACGCTGTGACAAACACATGTATTACACGTATTGAATATCGAGTACTTAGCTGATCCTTTATGAATTTGTCACAAGCGCACGCTATTGCAAAGCTATCAATAAAACACTAGTGAATCTACCGACACTGTCAATAAAAAAGTTAACATCTCTCTGATTCCCTTACGTATCATTTTGTCTTTAACAAATGCATTTCATACAACATGTATCTTTCGGAACTATATTTTTTTTATCGTAGCACTAGCCGTGCATTATCGCCAATCATACAAAACAACTATTTCAATATAAGACACGTCCAGAATGAACAATTTTAATCACAGTCTAGAATATTCGGCACCAATGAGCTTTTAAATTCGTCACATTAGTCATTCCCGGGATTGTCTCCGTATGCAAAATTGTGATGGTACCCGAACGTTGTCATCCAGCCTTGCGTGACGTCACTATTAAATTTCTGGTATAATCTCTAATGACTATAGCTAGCAATTGACTAATTCTTCGCTCCTAGTTGAACTAATATAGCTGTTATATATATCTATAATCTGTGGAACAGCTACATATAAATTGTACCAAACAGATTTAACACGGAACTCCGTTCCATCCTCTTTCTATAGAAAAAATATTATGCGTGTCGTATTATACGATTGATCTACATCGGTATGGATGTCTAGCTTCACTAAAGCTGATTTATAATAATTTTTATTTATTGCTTGTCCGTTATTGCTACGTTCTCTATACTATTTATCTATGAAAGGGCAACTGAATTTAAAGACTATAACGCAACAGCTTATTTTGGCCTGTATACATGGCACCTACATAATTATATCATTTTCATACTTTGTTTACACGTTTCCTTTGCTTGAACATTTTACAATTAAAGTAACTCTATTTTTCTACACTGCTGTTGAATTTTCGAAATAATTTATTTTTGGGAAGATTTACATAAAAATGTAATTCCATATAGTAAAGGCTAACGTGTAAATAAAGGACAACGTATCAAAAAAATTTAGGAACCTATCAGTTGACTTGTGAAATCAAATAGTGTGCGTGCGTATATGTTTTTCACAAAAACGGTTTAATTCACACATTAAATAAAATTTTAACGGCTGTAAACGCGAAATATAATATTAATATAATTTGTAACAACATTGGGCATGACAAAGATTATATTTCGAGATTTGAAACAAATTCCGCTAACATAGCAGATTTAACTATGACAATGGACACAACTTATGTTGAAAAGATAGAAGATAACACAATAATTAGCTATACATATGCCACGTTTAAGCCGGTAAAATTGTTTTATTTAATATTTCCTTAGACATATCGACCGGATGTTTTCTCGGCGATCTCATTCAAGCCGTAACAACAAGCACACTATGTGATCAATGGAAACCTAATGTCTGTCAACTCAACCATACCTTACACTAATTCTATCAAACCGTGTATATATATTTCGATTTTATTAAGTGTAATTTGGCCACCGTTACCCCTTACTAAACGTAAGGGACGTTTCTATAAATGTAAATATTTTCTTTAAGTACATTAATTTTAACGGTTATTCTAATGACTAGCATGTCTCGTATGGCCACGGGAACGAAAAAGCTGAAAATATGACTTTTAAATAATTCAACAAGCACCTACTATAATGTTTTGTAACCAAAAAGATGGACGCATTCAAAAATTTATAACATATGGTAATTTTAATAAATCTAGTATAAAACAGTCAAAAAGCACTTCTAATATGTTTAGTATCTACATACATTTTGTAAATCATGCAACCGATGGAATTATCATTCTAATCATGTTTTCTAATTATATTTAATGTTAATATTGCCATTTTTTACAAGCTATGTTAATTTATATAAAATTAAAAGCATTATGCGTCTTTTTGATTACAAAATCAGCCTACAAAAATTAATCGGATGGATTTATGACGAACACTACATTTTATGTCCTATTAATAGTTATTATACGTTATGAAAGGCACCTATATGTCCTTCGACAACCGTCGATCTATCTTTATCAAGCTTTCATCGTTCAGTCCGAAAACTCGCTTTAAATTTTATTACCAGCATTATTGAAGAAGGGGAAATCCACTTAAAGTTCACACCTTCATAATATTGAGATATTACTGAGTAAAACTGGAAAGATGTTAGACAGTGTGTTTATAGTCATGAATAGTTAACGGACTAAAAATTAGCGATTAATAACAGCTTCTAAATATACAACTAAACTAAATTCTTAAGCAAGGCTCGTCTTTCTCAAATCGTTTAATAAGTTAAAAAATCTCAGTAAAACATTACTCTTAATCTAATTACTTTTTAAATAATGAAACGAAAACAACTTATCACACTTTCAATCAAAAATTGGAAGCATCCCTCTTAAACTGCCTTTAAGGTCAGCGAAACAATAATAAAAGCTGAATCATTCACAATCACTAAATTACTGGAAGGCTTTTGTCATATTCGTTATATTCTATAAAAATATTAGAATACAGTTTCCCAGTTATTAAAATAGCCCACTAGATGGCGTTGTTATAAATTAATAAGTGACGTCTGTACAAAGTCACTTAAACGCTCCTAATGCCAACATAATAACATTATGTACATAATAAAGAATTACTCTGTACAGCGAATAAATTTATTGTCAAATGAAAATGTCCGCTTTTCGTGTTCAAAATCGAAATAGTCCGTGTGTAACTGACCTTCTATATGAAGTTATGAGATCCCGAAAGTATACTTCATACATTGAGCTTTCTTATGTTTTTTTTTTTACTTATAATCATTAGGTATCCCTAAATAGTCTGGACTGGCTGAGTGTTAAATCTACTTTTCGATGAAAACAGTTTTGTTCTAAATAATTTTACAATTTCGGATAACTTTTTTTGTTAAAGTAGACAGTTATTGATGGCGTTACTTTAATTCGTGTGGAATTCTAAGCATTAATTTATTTCAATAGAGAATTAAGACTTAAGCCAAAGAGGATCCAAATGCCAGCCCAGTGCTCTATAGAGGTCAGTGTCTATGCGTAACAGGACGCCAATGGGGGAGGGGCGCGGGGGTCCACCTGAGCACAGTTGCGGCCGAACCGTCGTTCGGGATGGACGAATCGGCCGCAGCGTGCAAGGATCACGGCGAGCGAAGATCCGGCGCCGGTTTATCTGGGGCGATGTCGTCTGTGTCCACTACAGACTGGACATTCGTTCCAGTCGTGTCCATGGCTGTTGTGTCCGAAGTTATCACGTTCGATTGAAAAAAACGTTCTGTGAACACAAAGTTACCTTCTGTCAATGAATAGGCATCGTGTGCCTATTGGTCACGATCGCATTAGAGACATAGAAGTTATGCTTGCCTTATGTCAAAATCTCTGATAAAATAATAAAAATGTAATGCACTTAAGTAAAAGCATTAAGTATGTTTCATCAGAGATTATGTTATAAGTTGCAAGTAGTTTTTTTTAATAATAGAGGAAGACAGACATGGCATGGAGTTCACTTGATGGTAGGTGATATACCCCTGCTTATAGCATCTTCACAAGATGCGCTGTCGGCCTATTTTGGCTTTATTCGGAAATCCACAGACTGAAACCGAAACGCGATTAAGCTTTACGACTTTTTCATATATGGATGGTGATTCGTGACACGTACGGAATTTCTAAATTCCTACCACCCATTTAATAGGCAGGTTTCCAGACGACGTCCAGCATGAGCAGCAAGCCCGTCCAGTAGTTAAGACGTAAGTTTATGTGTTAATTTGGAATATTTACCATCATCCAATAGGACAACATGGTCAGGTCCAGTTGGTGCTGTCATTATATTGAATTCTTCCTCTAAAGTTGGAAATGGCGCGTTCCATCTGTAAATGAGAGTTAAATATCATTTATATTTTATCATTGTTACAGTCTAACAAGAAATATGTTATAATTTTTTTATTGTTATTTTCATGTTGTTGCACATGATAGCTTATTATTATATTAATTTATCTATTTTAGATTTAAAAAATTCTATGATACAGGCGCCATCTATTTGTTAATTCAGCAACAGTTTGAAACGCTGTGATTCGTGTCCCAGCCAGGTCGAATTTTTAAACTTTTTATTCGACTTATACGTCTTTACAAGGTTTTATGTAAAAAAAATATATATTTGCATGTTCGATAGAACTATTTCAAAGATTATGCTACCCATAAATATGGATATGAAATTACCTGGGTGGTGCTCTTGGTGGGGGCCGAGGGCCGTACAACCCCAATCCTCCAGGAGGTGAACCACCACCTCCACCAGAAACGACAGCCCCTCCACCTAAAGAACCGTAGCTGAACACCTGAAATACAATTTTTGTAAAATTTGTAACTGTATAGCACTTCTTTAACCACACCATACAAATATGGTGAATAAAAACATTTTTACTTACCTGTTGTGGTTGCGAGTGGAAGTGGTTGAAGTGTGAGATTGGGGGGTGACAGTCCCTATATGGATGGGGACTGCGGCGTCTCGGTGACCCATTTGGAGATCGAACCTCTGGGGACGAAGGGGATCCAACACCTACACCACTAACTCCGACTTCGCTTGCTATAAAAAGTATTATTTAAATTTTCACGTGAAGCTTGGGAAAATTGACGAAAACATCACTTGATAAAATATCATATTTTATGTGAATTTATAATATAGGCATTTAGTGTTTCTATCGCATATTCCTGTAAAGGTAGGTTTAAATAAATAAATAGTCGTTTTTAAGCCTTTACTTAAGAGGGGTTTGTGAGAACAAGACACTATTAATTCTTACTTTAAAAAAAAAGAAAAATATAATAATATAAGAATTATACGACAAATCTTATAGTATAAAGTAATTAAACGTTATTTCCAAGCTAAATAAGATAATGCTTGTAGCTCTTGTATCTCTGGTATTTTTCACTTACCAGTAGATCGAATAATAGCAACCGGTCTTGCCATCGGTGGTAGCGGTGGTGGTGGTAACATTGAACTGCTGAAGTATGGCGGTTTTGGACTCCTAGACAGACTGTGCACCTGTCATAAAAGAACATTACATTTGTTATTCAGTTATTTATACTGAAATCTTCGGCCAAGACAATTGGTTGGCCAAAGGTAGTTTGGAAAAAAATTGAAAATTCCTGCTGTCATCAAGACAAGTTAATCTATAGTAATATTATAAAGCCGAAGTTTGGATTTTTCAACGGGCTAATCTCAGGATCTACTGGTTTGTGCTAGACACTCTATTTATCGAGGAAAGCTTTAGGCTATATAATATTGGATTATGACTAATAGCGTAGGAGCGTTGAAACAGAGGGTAATGTGAAAAAATGAGGGTAAGTCATTCATCTTTGATTTGATTTTCCATTGCATGCGCGGTAAAAACGGTTCAAGAGAACAAAAACGATATATGAAATAAATTATTCTTCTTTTGATGACCAAACAATATAATATCCGCGACAGTATGGGTATCTCTTATCCTGTCAAGACGCGGACGGCGTTATGGCTGACAGCTATAATTTATAAAGCTTTATAGGAGGTCGTTTGCAAAAATATATAATACGATGCCAAACTAACACGGCTAGATTTACATAAGTTTATACACCCTATTAAATATCACAGTAAAAAATAATATTGCTTTATTTTTAAATCTACGAAATTAAAATACCTGTAACTGCTGAACATCTGTAGGTGGCTCTTGGCATACAAAAGTGACGAAGTCCCCTAGAGAATCTTGAGGCGTCCCGTCATACTTGCTCGAGTGCTGACTTGAGAGCCCTTCTGATGCTAAAAACGAACATACAACGTAATGTTAATTGGTATTTTGGTAACAATGTATGGCTAATAACAGGCTCCAGATAAAGTCCAACATGTTTCAGAAGGATTCTGGATATCAACTGGGTGAAATATTTGAAATTATTACTTACTTAACAATCCAAGCAGAAAAATACTGTAGTACCTACTTTATAAAGTTCAAATTGCTCTAAATACTTACACGTTGGATGTGTATCTGCGGGAGGTGGCGCATGTTGGTAAAATATGGTGTTAGATGGAACTAGCGGCGCCTGCGCAGCGCTCAACCCTGCTGAACTGTGCGGGATGCCTAGAACAGATTTTATTCTGTTAGCAATAATTAAAACTTGACAGAGGGCAAAAAATATTTAAATTAATATAGACCTTAAAATCTACGGTATATAGGTTTCATGTCCTGTCCTTTTCAGACTATGGTTGAAAGTAACATAACAAAGTTTCAACGCTTGAGTCCTTATACATTTCCTCAAATAGGGGATAAAGCTATTATTGAATCTTAAATTTATTCATTTTTAAGGCTGTTACGTACAACAACTTGTCAAAATGTATAATTCAAAGCTATTCATTAAATGACGAACATTTTTTATCATTCATGCGTCATATTTATCCAAAAATTGTTAAAAAAACTCTAAAAAACCCAATAGTTTATCTTAATTACATATTGTTAACTTTTACACGTTTTAAAATATAAGAAGCTTCTAAGCGAGACAGCTATATTTAGAGAGACCAACGCGGCGTACGATGCTCGCAAACACGGAAATAACTCAGTCTCTTCAATTTATAAGTTCTAGTGTTTCAATATATCTCTTTTAACGGTTTGAAACGCGAAGTATTACTTAACTATATACGATTTATTTCGTATCCAGTATCCGTGGTCACGGGGGAAACTATTTAAGTTCTAGTATTCTTTATACATTTAGGTTAACTTCATGAATTTAAATTTTTCACCAGGGCTAAAAGATGTAAGATAAGAGATCTTATAATGTTACAGGAAAAACCTATAACAGATTATTAACCTCTGAAAATCCAATTGCATACTTTGTCCGCGTAGAATAGATATTTTGAGCATAAAAATTTATTTATGCAAATCTCATCATGTTATAAATTTAAGCTGTTACGCTTACGACGCAGGTCGCACCCTGTCGTTCTTGCTTAGTTAGTTAATCTTAAAAGATTTTTTCAATTTGAACCAGTACTTTCTGAGATAAGCGCATTTATAATATCATTATAGATAATAACTCACTAAAACATTGCCCGACGAGCATAGTAGATGGAGTCCCACGATCCGTGGGCGGTTCGAAGGCGGGCGGCGCCGGGCTGTTGTACCCATAGTAGCTGGACTCCAGTTTAATCCCGCCGCCAGACCCGCTTGGAGATTCCGAACCCGTTTCTTGCAGGATTGAAGCTGAAACATGGAAGTGACATCAACTATTAAACCAAGTATCAAACATCAGGACTTTTGAAGATATTTGTATTAAGATTTATATATATTCTTCTCAATTCGATTCGTAGATATGCTATTTTATATTTGTTCGTGCATAACTTTTTATTTTTTGTTAAAAAGTAATTGTTTCCAAGTCTCATTTCAAGCTAATCAAGGTGAGATTACTAGTGCGTTTGTGAAGTATTTTAAACTGTTATAGTTAAATTTAATTAAATCTTGGATTAGATCTGATGATGGGGCCGAGAAAAAGTCAAAGAAACAACCTTAAGAATTCACAGCAGATACCCTGTTGACCCTTGAACTCAACATGTTATATCTTTATACATTATATGATATAACTATTATTAGGGTCCTGATAATGAAAACGAGGGACATTTTAAAGAACTTCCCAAGTTTACAGTAGCTTCTTAGAACTTATTTTACTCATTTTCACGTCACGTCAAATAGGTAAGGTTTACCAAAAATTACTGATTTAATTAATATTTTTAAGATATGGTTAAGAATTCGGTGCCAAATAAACGTTTTTAAAGTGTCATCAACAAACAGAATAATTTCGTAAAGCTTGTTAACATACGATGGCAAATCATTATAGCAGATGACAAATAGGATTGGTCCAAGTATAGACCCTAAGTGAATCTCTAAGTGTGACTCCATCAATTTCAACGCCATTCCATCAACTCATCAAAGTATGTTGGTGGATGCAATCAAAGGCTTTTGAGAGATCGTAAAAAACTACAATAGCATTATTGAAGCTTTCGCAGGCGTCCAAAATGTTAGTTTTTAGAAAGATTAATAATATTCATACAAAGTAATTGTTTAACTCAGCACAGAATTAAATATTATATTATAATATGTTGTAATAAATACAATATTTTGAATTGTGTTTCTATGCCCTTAAGCCTTCTTATCTTTTACTGTGTCTTTGATAAAGTTATTTGATTTACTTTGTCGACTAGTAACTATGGACCCTATACAACAGTCTTATAGAACAGCGTTGTAGTTGCAGCAAGGTGATTTACAAAGCTAAAAGGCATTATAAAATATGATACTGGATTCTCACCTTTCGATAGCTTCCATAGCTCCTTGGAAGAGAAGACACCAGTCGCTAGAATGATATCGTTGCATATAACACCATTGTACGGATTGTGCGTGTAGCCTGAAAGCCACCCACACATTATCTATGAAGTGAAATTCTATTTTCCCCAGGTGACGCATGGGGCAGACATTTTATATCTGGTTCACTTATCGTCTGTCAGGCAAGGAAAGATCAGGAGCTTTTTCCAAGGATTCTAACCCAGGACGTCTCGCTTTCCAGCCAATGCAAATAGCCATAGAGATGTTCAGACGTTATGTCTAGTTTGCTTTTATCCAGCACTAGTTTCAACGCCCAGTATAGAGTTAGTGCTTTCTTAAGATAGAAGGAGACAGACAGGCATAGGGTTTACTTGATGAGAAATATCCCAGCCATGACATCTTAAGGGGACGTTCGTCGACCTATTTATGCTTAGGGTCTTCAGAAGTCTAGTCTTTTTAGAACCAAGTTTCTTAAAAATACAAAACAAAGTAAATTCTTGACGTCCATGCTCTCAACTTACATTCTACCTTCTAAAAACCTTTAAAACTTTAAGATAGATTGTCTAATTAACAATATCTAACCACAACAATTTGTCTACATATGTTTATTGAAGATACGTAAAATACAAACACCACATTGAGTGTCTATGCTCTTCTAGAAGTAACGTAAAATCACAGATTACAATTATTTTAAAATCTAGAAGAGCACAGACTAGAAAGAGAAGGAACACCAAATACACTACTGAATTTGACCAATCAAAGTTCAACCTTTAAGCATGAAAGTGTGTGCAAGCCAATGGGGTTTAAAAAAGTGCCTAAAATGTCTGTGCAAACACCAATTTAACTCGCTACAGTCTGAGAATGATTTTCGTAAACACATGCCTATTTTTGCCAACTATTCAGAGAGTAAAACAAATATATATATATATATATTAATCATGATAAACTTTGTCTGCTATTTACGCGAGTAGAACACTTTTAAGTAAAACCCTTTTAATGGTTTAAAACGCGAAATGTTAAAATAATCGACGTCGAGGCAGTCCCGGTGTAACTGACTGACTGAGACCTTTCGCGTTTATAACCGTTAAAAGTGTTATGTTCAAATGATAAACTCTTATTATAATCTTTCACAATATTTTTTTTTCTTCTTTAGATCTTTAGAAGCTTATTTAGATCTATATTAGTACAACTAATTCGTTGTAAATAAAGAAAAAAGCTGTAACATGTTACTTAATATACTTATGTCATGTATCTTCATTTTTTAATTTTAAAAAGCAATAAAACACATTTAATTAAACACGTGATTTAAAACATATACTAATAGTGTTTTCACGTGTCCTTATTCATTTAGTTCGAATTAAAAAAAAAATACACAGGAAGGATTGGAATCCATTAATTTATTTTAAAGTGCATGAGACATGGAACCTCTTTGTGTAAGCGTTAAGTTTGAAATTACATTGCACGAGAGGTGCATATCTTAAAGAGAAATGAAAATTGTCAGTTTAACAATAATAACTTTTGAAGTATATTAATATTCTTTTAAATTAACATTTGAATTACATGTAATTCAAGGTTATACCATTACGGTACTATAAAAAAACTGTTAAAAATAAAAAAAAATAATAATGTTGACTGTCCAAAACTCAATAATATTATTGTAATGACTAATGCATGACTACAAAACCAACTACACGTGCAATAAAAGCGTGCAAAAACCCATTCTCAGTGACCGTAACGAGTCCGACACGACACCGACACGACATCGACACGACACGCAGTCGGATTTACCTTTGCTTTTTGCCTCGTGTTCGTTCTCTTTGTCTCTAGGCGGGTTCGGAGATAACGAACCGCTTAGGATATCTGAAACATTATTGCTTTATAATATTTAAGCTGGGTCATGCAAAAGCTCAAAAGTTAACAACCTAATAAAATAACTTATCGAAACAAACAGGTCAACCGTGGCCACGGCAGCGAATACAAATCAATTAAGTGAATCGCGTATTTTAATCAGTTAAAAGTGCTTTATTTAAGTTATGATTCCTCGGAATAAAAGTAATAAATTCATATGTTCTTAAAAGTTTTTGTAGTTTGTAAACGACCGTTGTTTATAAAACAACAGTTGTAAAATAAAGTTGAAATCGACTTTTATGCTAATTAATAAAATGCATAAATAAATATTAATTACTGCCAAATAGATAAGTAAACAAATCGGGATAGAGAACTTTAGACATATGTGTATTCATTATTAAACCGCTAATATACGAAAAGGGAGGAAAGGAAGTCTACTCTTTAAAAGACTAGAAACTTTTGATATTTTTCACATGCTGTATGTGTATAAAATTAAAAATCTCATTCGGTCATTGTAGCTCTATCTCTATGGATTAGAACAACAGCACGGAACGCTGTGGATAATGGATCAATCCCTTCAAATATTTCCAATCTAAAAAGAGTTTTAATCTTTTCAAAACGTAGCTCAAGTTATTATTTCATTGCAAGTCGATCGAGGTTTTAAAAACAGGACGTTAAGTCCTTAATAACCCGACGTAATATTTCGTTGAAATTAGTCTGACAAAGTGGTTTAAAACACAGGAAGTTAAGTCCTCAAAAAACAACATAAGTGTCACGCAAAGCGCAGATAATAACTGAGCGATAAACCTGGCAGTCCGTCGCTCCCATTACCATAGCTGTTGATGAAGTTGGCGAGGTACAGGTCCAGTTCCCTCACTGACACGTTGATGTGGTAGGGGTTGACGCAGAGACCCGGCTGCGTGCATTCTGGATGTTTCTCTAAGCGTTCCCCGTCCGTGCTCTCCAGGGGTATTGCTTTGAATAGGATTACCATTACTAGATCCAGACGCCAGACCTGGAATTCACAGGCGATAAGTTTAAAATAACTTATTGTTCTTAGCACCAAGCATTAAATCGTCATCCTACGTAGATATAAAAGGATTAATGGAATGACAGAGGAGGAGAGAGCCACAGACTGAATTCGAAACACAGATATACCACTTCACGGCTTTTTCATGAGGAGACAGTTGTTCGTAACCCGGACGTGAATTTGTGTTTACAACTGGACGTGCCTACCTCAAAGACTCTTAGTGCGGTAGCTTTATTGTTTAATCCCCTGCTATTAATTGTCCATTTAGTTCTCTTTCTACTATGGACATAAAACTAATGAATAATAATTACGGTCTCAATGCTCCATTATAACAGATTACCTATGCTTTATATAGTAGTGTTTTTAAAATGCACAATACAATAGACGTTTTCTCCCAATTTCATAAATTTAAAAGCCCAATTTGAAAAATGTCACATAACTTTGTCCTTTTATAATATTGTCATTAAATTACGCATCGTAGCTTACTTCCTTATTCACTTCTTTATTGTTTATCTTATTTAATAGCAAGGTTGTGAATACCTTTAATTTAAATACATAATCGTCTCATAAATTATACTGTTTTTAAGTCAAACTTTTATTATGTATTTAATTAGGAAGCCTCTTTGAAATCAAGGAATAAACTTATTTTATGAAGATACATAACAGCTCAGATGTACCAACATATAAGTAAGGCGACACCTCAAAAACTAACTCAGTGGTACCAACCTTATCAGCCTGTCGCAAGCAGTCTATCCTCCTCATTTTTCCCTTCTGGTCAGGATTGGACAAGACACAGACTGCAGGTCGCTTCCCTGTTATGCTCAGCACGAAATCCTCCCGACAGTCTTGTGTGATATCTTTTCTTAATTTGCCTAATAGCCGCGACGCCCATTTTTGCTTGACTTCTGCCTTCTCATTCTGAAATATGTATCCGTTTTGTTAGCAGAATGTAGGAGATATATTAGTATAACAATTTTTGTTATGTAATATTATATTTAATATTAATTAAACTGATCAAGTTACTCCATAACTTATTAACTTGTTTAGTGTGTTAACGATTTTTGTTGTTCCATTGTAATTTACAATTAATTGTATGTTTTCTCGTTCTTGTTGACTTTTATTGTTATTTTCTTTTCCTTTTCTTTATACAAAGGTTGCCGCAAGAAATCGCCGTAGGTGATAAGGCCTTTGTATTAACTCTTTTACGTAAATAATTAATTTAGTATTGCTATATTTCTATTTTTTTTTTGTGCAATAAAGTGTTATTATCATTATTAACTAGTCCTACTAACTCGACTTATTTTAATATGCTATAAAATTACATATAACATTTAGTTATTTGAAAACTCTAAGTGATGTGGGAGACAATGTAGCTCAGTTAGTAATACTATAGAAGCATAGATCGCTGTGAATCAATCGCCAATTCAAGTCGTGCCCGTGTCGTTTTCAATCTAAATAAATATTAAACTTCTGATGTATATCATTTTTACTTTTATATATATAACCACTTTAATTATATTAGTATTTATATCTTTGAGCTACAATACAACAGGTATTAATAGACAAATTTTCTTAAGTTTATGTCTGTATAATTTGAAAAAATGAATATTTAATGCTTTAAAATACCCAAAGAAATAACATTTAAGTTAATCTAAAATCTTTAATGATTTTCTCTATCCCTTGTGATCTTCCAAGCCTACCTCTCCTAGCGCTTCGGCACTTCATACGAACTAAGATGCTGCGAAACAAAAATGCTTTGAACTCTTTAGCGTCTGCTACTTGACATTATATCTATTACGTAGCGCCGAAACGAAGCTTCGGCTTCGGATAACAAAAAAAAACCGAAGATAAAAAAAATACCAGCGTGTTTTGCTAAAACCGTATCTATCATACTATAATAATAATATTTCAAAAACAATTAAGTAGTTGGGTGTGATAAAATAAATCATTTTTTATGTTTTGATAAAATAATTCCTTTTAACGTAAATGACGGATGACAAATGAGTGCCTCCACGTTTTTGTGCCATATAAACGACTGCAATCAAAATAAGTTTATTTTCATGAACATTTCAATATATCAAAATGTATTATGTCAACTAAACTAGTATAAAATGTCTTCTCCCAACTTTGTAAGGTAACCGAATAACCGGCTTCGGTACAAATAGGCCTTTGGTCGGGCTCTACTATTACGCAATATGATAAATATGTCTGTCGGTCGCGCCAACAACAAATATTTTTTTTTTGTTTTTAGCAGAGGAGATGAAGAACGGTACACAACCTAACTTAGTTTAACACAATTGCTATATAGAAATTTAGGGTATAGTTGCCAGTAAATTAATAAATAAGAACCTATTTAAGTTTTATTTAAATTAAATTTACGAATTTAAACGGGTCTTGGCGTTCAATTTATTATGGCAGCATATAATATAAATATATGTACACAAATTACAAAACAAAAGTTTATAAAATGAAGCATTATATGTTATTTCTTAATCACCAAGGCTTCTTTATGCAATCAAATTTAAAAATATATTGTATATATCCGGTTTAAGAGTTCGCTCCATGAGTTTTACCCTTAATTTCTCTCCTACTCTCTAAGCATACACAAGAATGCTTTTACAATGTATCTTTGCTTTTCTTTATTATTTCTTACACCTACCCACTAAAGAAGTCTATTTCTGTTTCTTTTCCCTTTACTTCAGGTTGGCTGGAAGGATCGCTATTTAGCGATAAGGCCGCCTTTTATTAAGTTAGTAATATTTTTTCTCTTTCATAATATGTTTTTATGTTGTTAGTATTTTAAATAATAATACCATACAAAGAAATAAATAATATCATATATATATACTGTTTTAAACGTGCCATATACTTTTCAGTAGCCATGAGGTGTTAAAATAATTTTCAAATAAGTTTAACTAATATATATCGCGTTTAAACCGTTAAAGTATTTTATTTTAATATATATTATTTACGTTTTAAAGTTAATGACTCGTGTTTGCGTTATACAGACAAAGATCAATACAAAATTGTGAAATCCCAATATATGCGTTGGGCTAGTTCCAATATTATATAATTAGGCGGTGCTATATGGCCACAAATGGTCAACTGGAAACCATAGTACCTAGTGGTTATGGCTTAGGATTCGGTTAACTCAAACATTTGCACCAACCGGGAATTCCATACAACGCAGCGGTAGCCCAGACAAGTTGGTAACAGCTAAATGCATCGATTAGTCTTATACAATTCCAACGCAAAATGTTATTTAAATTAAACATTAACGGTTTTAAACGCGATGTATATAAGTTAAACTATGAGGTTGGTAACACCTAAATGCATCGATTAGTGTTATACAATTCCAACGCAATACAGCCTAACGTTTCGGATACTTTGCAACAGCACGGGGGACCGCCGTAGTTAAAATAAATAGTAAATAATTCGTTATATCCAGTTTCAATCCGTTAAAACTGTTTTATTTTAATAAGTAACAACTAACAACATCGTTAGTTACTCAAATTACATAATATACAAATATGTACATATATATTGCGTTTTAAATCGTTAAACTGTTTAATTAAAATATGTACTACTCGCGTAAACTACAGAATTAATATGTACATAAACATTCTTCTCAAATCTTAAGTATATCCCATTTTACGCAGTGCACAAAGGTTACCCTAAATAACGGAAAGTCTAGACTTCAGCTAGAACCCCCAACTAAATCGGCTATAGTAAAAGCCGCAGTCCGTACGCCCCACAGTCTCGAAATACCATATCCAGCAGACGCAATGCGCTAAGCTCTTCCCTTGTCATAAATCCGTGTAATTTATACAATGACGTCACGTTACATAAGACCGAACATCCGAAATTTATAAATTCTATGTGCCATGGCTTATGTGCAAACTTAGCTATGATATTATAGAATAAAATTTGGGGACAGGAAATTGGTTTTCTCGTGTATTTGTTCCGTTAATTGGTTATGAAGTCAGTACTACTAACTATAGGTATTCTTTATATCTACCACTAACTAAAATATGTTTTAAATTAAAATGTTATTATCTCAAAAAACTTCCTGATGTATCAATCTAAAATACAGTTATAAAAACGATAAATTATTTAAATTAAATCAAATACACATTCATACTAAGGCAAATATTATATGTTATTTTATGTGAAATCCCGTTTCGTCCTCGTGGGGCATGGGGCGAACACATTTCTGTGTCCGTTTCACCGATCCGTTCTTTAACAGGCAAGCAGTTGATCAGACTTCTGTGCCCTGACCGACCGAAACAAATTTGTTTCCCTGGGATTCGAACCCAGGACCTCTCGCTTAACGCAATGCTAGGCAATACGTTTATCCATTTGGCTACAGAGGCGATCTATATATGTTCTTTTGAATGTCCAATAGTTAGGTTTAAGACGTCTATACGTCGGAATGTCTAAAATGAAACTTAAAGAATGATGAGATTCTAATTGCGTTTTAAACAATAATAATTATAAAGATTTAAGAAAACTCAATATACCTACTGAAATATGTAATTTACTAAAATTCTACGCTACATGCCCTATAGGCTTAAAATATACGGGCGTATTCCGTAGTTATAAATTGCTCTAGAATTGAATTACCTGTAATTCATATTTAGTATGCCGCTCCTCTTCGAGACTCATCCGTTTCTCGTGTTTTTTGTAATATTTCCTCTTGGCCGCTTGCAAATTGAACCAGGTGTATGAAAAGGACTTTACGAAAGGCATGAGTGCCTCTATGAACGGATGGAATTCGTCCTGTAACAGTCAATACAGATATAGACAACTAACCTACACAAAAAATATGAAACCTCTGTTGATGAGAACCTTTTTCACATCTTTCACAGACTAGAGCATGTTTAATCTGTGGGTTTCTAACATCTGTAGGAGTTGCAAAATATTATTACCAATTACCCCTGAAAAATAATATATAAAATATAAATAGTATTTCTGGCAAAGTTATATAATTGCAACACCTAATTGGTAGTTCCAATTTGGTTCTTGTTTGTTATCATTCTTGTGAATACATTGATCGTCTTCATGCCACCTCCATGTATCTTTAATATAAGACGAAATAGCATGAACAATCAATTCACAAGATTAATAAGAATTATAATAATACTTACAACAAAAGCATTCATAACATAAAACTTGATTCCAAAGGCATGGTAAGTCATACTGGTAGCTACGAATTCAATAAAAACTTTTTGGATTAAATAATTCTATGTATGTCCACAGATCTACAAAAAGTTCTAAACTCAAATGTTAGCACGATATTCTGCATTTATTTAAAAATCGAATTAGGTCATCCACGTAAAACCCGCCAATATTGACACATGTCACTGTCACCGATCAAGCATTCATCGCGCGCCGCGAACAAATGCTGTATTGTTGTGCTTTGAATCATAACTTAATATGCAAATGTGCCATCCTGATTTATCGCTAACCCTTTTTAGCAGTATTGGAATGTATTTGTTTTTATATTTTTTTCGAGACTCAAATTATAAGTGAATGTCATTCGCCATGTTTTATTCATGGATTTTTGGAGAAAAGGTCGCCACTTTCGACGAATTCTGTAGAAATTTCCAAGGATTCAAATAGAGATTCGCGAAATTCTCTGTAGAATGACTCATTTTGAAAAGCAACGTTTTGTTATTGAGTAGGTACACATATTGCTTTAGAGAGATCCTCGAGAAACAAAATTTGTGGTTAGAAAACGACGAGTCTAGCCTTGCAAAGTGAAATTGATTTGTAAAACTTACACAAATATATGCCCGGACAACGATAAACTATTATTAACTGACCCGGCCAAGATTCTTTTGTCATATGAAAATTTAATTACCACGAAAACGGTTCTTGTGTTTTAATATAATGTATATGTATTTTTTTAATATTATTGAAAAAAATAATAATTCTTTCGCACACATGTTTTGTATCTAGAACACAGCGCACCCAACGAAGACCCTCAAATATGAATTTAATCGATAAGTGCTCTTCTCAACACTTAAATAACTTTTCAATTGGAACAAGTAGTTTCCGAGATTAACGGGTTTAAATAGAGAAAGAAACTCTTCAGCTTTGTAACGATAGTATACATTGATTACATTGAGTCATAAAACAATTTAATCTTGCAGTTGAGTTACCCTTATAAACGGTCAATACAGTTAAAAACAGTTCGAACTTTCAGTTTGTTCGGCGATAAAAATCTCGCTCACCTTCAATTCACGGCACAATTTATTAGCGCAACTATGAATGAAACCTGAAAAACACGCTACGTTCTCCATAAACAAAGAACTAGTCAAAACATTAACTTGGCTAGCAACAAGGCGCGTAATGCCAAAACAGATTGCCAGGACTTGCCACGTGGGGGCTTCCCTGATCGCTGTGCCAAATATTTAATTTTACCGTTCACCTAATGAATCACGGATGGAGGGAATGTGGGTTAAGTGCAGGAGGACGCGGGCTGTATCTGGATGGGCACCCGGTGTAGGTTATACCGTATAGGCGTGATCCTACATCTTCGTGTTTTTCTTCTTCATCAGCCTACTACTGTCAATGTAGTATTTGTAAAATGATTGTATGCTGTAATTGTAATTGTAATTAATTGGTGACAGTATTGTAATAAACAATCTATAATTTAAACGCGGTCTTCTAAGAATGTCATTAAATTTTATTTATTTGTAAAATTGTATATAAATTTTTATTTTATTTCATATAGATTTTTATACGTCATTCCTACATAATGTGTAACTAAGTATAACTTTTAAACTATCTATGGAACTGTTAAGGATGCTTCTTTAAATAAATAAACCCTTGGAACAATTTACCTTCTAGTCTAAGAAAAGCCCCGAATCTCGCTTCCTTCAAGAGTCTTGTCAAGTCCCACTATTTACGCCTAATTAAGTAACTTAGTTAAGATAATAGTTAATGATTTTTAGATTAACCTCGTTTTGTATTATTGTTTTTATAAGTTTTAGTAAGTAGGTTAAGTCCTTTTTCTGCTGTCACGCATTCCTTTTTATTACAAAATTTTCATTTCTACCACGGTTGCTTGGAAGAGATAGATATTTAGCTATAAAGTCTCCCTTTGCCGTTGTTGTTTTGTTTTGTGACAATAAAGAACATTTGTATTGTATTGTATTTGTAAGCTTTACTTATACTTCATAGTCAAAATTCTTTATTTTATTTTAACATACTTATTGGTTTGGTAAACTGTGTGGTAGTTTTATAGCGTTTTCGCCAAAGAACGTTTTTGATTTTGACAAAATTTAGTTCCTGTAGGATAATACTGTAGAAAATCACGAAATCTATTCCAATACGTCGATCAGTCAATCCCAAACATCTCATTTTCACACTAAATAATGAATTCATGTACTGTTGAAATTTCACATTAAATCTTAACATACCGGGTGTATGGTGAAGATTTTTGTAAGTTTATGCTTTAGCCAATTTAACATAAATACTAGTCAATACTTTTCTTTCTGTTGATAGAAGTAGCCGCGTCTGCTCATTCATAACATTTAGAATTAACCAGAGCGGTGTTAACATCATCAGCCATCACGTGTTCTGGCTTTAACGCAAAAATATTGCAGTTTTCTTGATAGTATTTAACTAAGGTTATTATTTTTTAATTTTTGTGCTGCAACACTTTTAAAGGATTAACGATATGTTAGTATTCATTGATCTTATATATTATAGTCTTGAAGGGCTAATTGTTCTAATACTCGAATGCAATGTATGGCTTATATCCAACGGGTCTAAGATTCGATCCCTACCAATTCCGGGTTTAATTGTTAATTTGCTATTAACATGATGGACTTCCTCTGGAAATCGGGATAGTAAAGTGGGTGGTAGGTCTATCGACATTCATTCCGGATCACGAACCACCGTCCACAGATGAAGAAGTCGTGAAGTTTAATCGCGTTGCGGTTTCAGTCTGTGGATTTCCGAACATTTAAAGCTGAAATAAGTTGATAACGCATCAAATTCAAATGCTGGGGATATTTCACCTCACATCAAGTAAACCGCACGCTTCTATGCGTCTGTGCTGCTTTCTCCAAAAAAGTTTCTCTATTTATTTGCTTTATACTCGTATAAATTGCTTTTACTTTTTTTTTAATCTTCCATCAAGAAATATGTTTAGAACAGATCGTATAAGACCGTGTGAACAGCGAACGTGGTAAAGTGACCTTACCCAACAGGTTGTCACTACCCCAATACACACGAAATCCAGTCAAAACATTATCTTGGCTTACACCACAGACACTAGACCGCTCTGCCAAGCTACCTTGGCAGGACCCTGCCACCACGTGCGCGATTCCTGGCAGAAATACCCAAAAAACATGCCAATTTACCGTTGAGAATGAAAGGAGGCCTATTGGAATACGATTTCAGATGCCTAGTTGTAACGTGCAGTTTGAATGGAGTAACCTTGTAGCCAAATTTTATGTCTAGTTTTATTAGAGCCATATAACGGTTTAAAACGCCTTTATAATGATTAAACTAATATATTTTGCGTTCTAAAATGTTTGATTGAAATATGTTCTACTCGCTCGCGCAACTATACATAGATTTTATTATATTTTTCAGTGCTAAATTTCTAGAAACTATTTAAGTATATGACAGTTAAAAATACAATAATTGAAATTATCAGAAGTGACAGTAGAAATCGGGTAAACAGAGACGCAAACATCTTATAATTATCGAATTTAAGAATCTAATGTAGATTGACAAATTCCGACGAAACTTTAAATAGACTTTTAATTTGTCTGCTGTGTAAACTAAAATATTTCAAGTAAATAAATTTTAATAAATATAACATCCATTTCTCTTTAACAAAATCAGTAAATACCATAGACATCAACATTGTTCTATACTCTATGACATAGATAAAGCTACATTCGCGTAAAATCGCATACTCTCATTAGCTACATATGCTCCCATCTTTATTGTATGCGGATAAATTTCTAATGAGTACGTAACATCATTACCGATATTGTTATGTTCGAAACAACCACATTTTACGACCCGCGACTAACGCGTCCAAAATGTATTTTGCGAAATATAAGACACGTACAATATTTGAACAGTATTTTATCATAGTCAAGAGCAAATTAAAAACGAGCTAACTCTAAAAATAAAATTGCCGTAGCGCAACCGCCATGTTGAAGACACGAAAAAGCGCGCGAAATAGAAAATACAAAATGGCGTCGTAAAACTATCGAAGCTCTCGATAAGGCGCGAATATTCGGCGTATATGAGAGAAATGCTAAATCGTACGATTGTTGGCAAACGTCTAGATCAATAGAGTTTACTCTGATGCTCATGATATCACTGGGTTTCACGTGTTTAGAAGTTATTTCGTCGTTTATAGAGACAAAAGTATTCAGTTTCGCTTATATAGAAACTTGTATCCTGATAGAAGATATATTGCCCATATCTTCTATTTTTCGATCTTATATACTGTTAAATCTACTGTATTCAGATGTGGATTACGTTTATGACGCCATAATGATCCAGCTTCTAAAGAAAATCGCTCTCTTCATAAAATACGGTTAAAAGTATAATCTGTGTTTACAAACGCATCCAGAGCCGATCCAAACAAACTATTAGAAATACTTCCAAAACACGGGCATTGCCAAACTGGAGAGCGTTCACCCGAAGATTTTGGCGCCAAATCATACGTCAGCGATTCATTATTTTTTTATCTGTATTCCACGATTTATTTTATAGACATTGGCTCTGGTTCATCGGGGATACCCATCTGGACTTGGCCGTGGCACGGGTTGGCTACCTATTTGGGTCGCAACGTCATGCCGGAGGTCGCCAAAATCATAGACAACACGGAAAGTTGCTATGTGAAAAAATTTCAGCGGCCATCTTGCCACGAGCCGATTTGGCGCGCAACAAGTGAGCGCATACGTTTAACTGCGCACGTAATTCTACAATAAATATCCATTGTTGTAAACTGAATGCAGAATTTGATTATATGCATTTAGGTAGTTAACCCGTACGAGCCTGGAATATTTACCGATGCGTTTTGAGGAATTTCTCCGTATTGAAACTCCTGTTTTCTCTAAAACATTTTCCGCAAAATATTCAAAACCTTTATTCATGCGGAATCATCGTATAACCTCTTTACTACCACAGACATACATTAAATTACACTGAAAATCTA